ATAAAAATAATTTAAATTAAATGAAAATTTTGTGTTATTTACCTACAAGTTCATTAAAAATTCAACATTTGTTATAACTCTATTTAAATGACAAATTATATAAATTTATAGTAGTAAACATTTTTTAACTTTCCATAGGGTAGTTATAGTAATGGGCCGAAAATCGAAAATGAAAATTTTTGCATTTCTCGACGTTTTCGGGCGCACGGATCAACCGATTTGAATGGTTTAAAAAACATTCTATCTCAATTGATAGGGAGATGTGCTGATTAGTTTTTGGCAAAGGCAGGTCCAGCCGTTACGGAGATACGGAGCTAAAAGTGCAGAAAATAGAAATCGAGTTTTTCAAAATCAAAAAACATTCAGTTCGTAATGACGGGGAAAAGTGGTTATTAGTTTTTGGCAAAGGTAGGCCCAGCGGTTTCGGAGATACAGAGCTAAATGTTAAAAAATGGCAGTTTTTGAGAGAACTAAGCGTCCGATTTAAATGATTCAAATAACTTTTTGCTCGTACTGACAAAACAATTGCTTTTGGGGATAAAAAATTATTACAGCTTTTTTTATTTTTCATAAAATATTTTTGTAATTTTGGATTAAAAATTCGAGAAATTACTCAGGCTAAGCACAGTCTAAGCACCACTCTGGTACAAATGTTTACCAAAGTGCATTTAGACTGTTTCTGCACTGAGCACTTTTCCAATTTTGTGAAAACTATTGAAAAATGTGAAAATGCCGCCAAACTGAGCACCGTATAAGTGAAAATGTCGCACAGAATTGTTTGCAAATGCGTTTAGACTGCGACTATACGGGAGCACTTCTTCAATTTTTTGTAAATTAGGCAACTATTTTTTTTGTTAAAATTGAATTCGAAATGAAATGACGATTATTGTTAATGTTCTGGAGATGAATTGATTTATGAATTAAATTTGATTTGCTCAGATATAACAAGTTAGCAAAAATAATGAAAGTTTCAGTATTTGTAATAAAATATTTGAAAGCGTTTAAAATTTCTCGAATATTTCATTACGGTACGGGAAGTACCAGCAATTTGCCTTAAGACACGATGCCATACACTAGTTTTTAATAAGTTTGCTTTTTCTTAAGATTTTTTGTGAATTTGCTATTTTTTATAATACAAGTATTTCTAATAACTTACAGGTATAAAATTGTTTTCTTAAAAATGGTGCATATCTAAAAATTAATTAATTTTAGTGATTTCCAAAGTGTTAGTGCATAAATAATCAAGCAGGTAAATAATTTATATATATATATATATATATATACACATATCCATTTCTATTATTCCCTGATAAATCGATGAACTTTCCCGTTGACTTTTAAGCTCTGTAGCTTCTGTCAAAAGCTCAAAAAGCACAACGGGCGGGACTGCTATGGACCAATGGACTCGCTCGAAGGGACTCGCTTCGACCAATAGGAAGACGCAGAAACAGCTTTTGTGGGGGTGAGTTTGCTACATGTCAACGGCGTAGCGTTTCTGCTACGCCGAAAGAATAAATTGAAATATATATATATATATATATATATATATATATATATGTATATATATATATTGTGATAAGGTTCTTCAGTCACAAGTCGAAAAAATAAAAACAGAACGTAAAAATAAAATATTTTTTAATACGTTACAAGCTATTATACTAGCTCATCAGCTAAAATACAAAAATAGTAATAAAATAAATTAACAAATAAAATAAAACAGAATTAAAATTATACGTACCAAACTAGTCTAAAATTATTTTATATAAAATTTGACAATTATAACATCAATATTTTGTTCTAAAAACAAAAAAATATGTATATATATATATATATATATATATATATAGAATTTTAAAAAATAAAATCAATTTTTTTTTATTTTATTTTCATTCTGCAATCTATAAAAATAATTATATTTAGCAGAGAATGCTGACAAGTGTTTACAATTGATTGTTTACAAATTAGTAGATACGCCCAGTGGTGTATCTACTATAGTTAATATATAAAAAAGAAAAACTAAAGACAAATAAAGAGAAATATATATATATATATATATATACGTGTATATATAAAAATAAACTATATTAGATCTCGAGGTATTTTCTTTTTTTTTTTAATAAAATCAAGTATCAAAATATTCTGAACAGAAGAAGAAAAGAAAATATCAAGTGGTAAAAAATTGTTCAAATATTAAAAAAATCAGACTTACATACATTAATTAAATTTTGATAGCTATCAAAAAGCAAGGAAGAACTTCTCTTATTAACACATTGTGAATTTAAAAAAAATGAAAACAGATTCAGCAAACCTTCTTAGGTCTACATTTTGTTGAATATATAAAATAACGGGATTGTTTAAATCAAAGGTGTGTTTAAAGTTTTGCATATGGTCTGAAAGCATTGTTTTGTATTGATTTTTATTCTTTGAATTATAATTATGTTGTTTTTTTTTCGACTTGTGGCTGAAAAACCTTATCACAATATGTTTCAAAGTCGAAAATAAACAATATCAAGATATATAAATCCGCGTTTTAGCTCTTAATTCTAAATCGATTTTAAAAAATCAAAAACTGTTCAAAAGATATTGGTTGGGAATGATACTCATTACTTTTAGATAAAAATCTGAGCTTGTTTTTCTGTAATTAACTGTTGAAAAAAAATTGTCGATTTCTATGAAACTTTTTTTGGCAATATTAATTAGTTAACTGAAAACTTATATATTACAAATTGTGAAACAAAATATTTCTTTCATTAAAATACCTAAAAATTTGTAAAACAAAATACTTCTATTGTAAAGATACTTATCAATTTGTTTGAAAGAATAATAATAATAATAATTATAATATAAGGCACTTAAATTTGTTAAATTATCATAAAATGACCTAAAATTTGTTAAACAAAATAATTATATTGTAAAAGTATTGTAAAGCTTATTAAAATACTTATTAATTTTTAAAAAAAATACTTGCAACAAACTAGTTATATTTAACAATAATTAAAATTAACTAAAAATAAAACAAGTGGGGCGCATAGCATCGTGCCTTAAGGCAAATTGCTGGAACTTCCCGTACCAAAAATTATTATTTTTTAAAAAAGATTAACATTGTTGAAAAAAATTTACTTCGAACAAATTAGATTTTTGAGAATCTATAAATTTGACAAAAAATTACTTTTTTTGAAAAAAAATGTTTTTTTTTTTATTTTGACATATTTTGGAAATTCTGAACGTTTTTTCAAAGCAATCGTACTGCTTTTTCTGCATCGAGACGAAATATCGAAGCGCGTAAGCGCCGCGTCGCCGTCTAAAGGATAAACATTGATACGGAACCCATAGGAATGTAAACAAGATTTATACAAGATTTATACTTATTGTTAAAATCTCTATAAAATATCTGATACTCTAATGTCCATATGTCTAATGTTCATTTTTGACCGCCAAATGGCTTATTTTTTTACTTTTTCCTCCATATCTCCAAAGTCGTTGGACCTGCTTTTCCAAAAATTTGAACAGTTCTTCATTTAGTCAATACAAATAAAATATTTTTTGAATTATTCAAATCGGACGCTCCGTTCTCTTAAAAACTGAGTTACCATACATACACGCACACACACACACATACATCCATTTTTTCTAAGGTATGCCAAAATATTCAGAAACCTCTGAAACGTTAAGATATATAAAAATTTTCATTTTCGATTTTTTTGCGATTACTGTAACTTGCCCTAAGGGAAGTTAAAAATTGTGAAATAAAATATTTTTTTCATTAAAATACCTAAAAATTTGTATAACAAAATACTTCTATTGTAAAAATACTTATCAATTTGTTTGAAATAATAATAATTATTATTATTATAATATAAGACACATCAATTTGTTAAAATATCATAAAATGACCTATATAAGTTTATAGTAAATAAATTAATAATAAAATAGTTAATAGTTATTTAAATTATATTAAATCTGCAAAATATTGACTTGAGCCTTATTATAATTTCATTAAACTGATGGCTTGTAAAATAAATAAATAAGTAAATAAATAGATATCATGGTCTTATAAACATACTAAAATGTTATGGACCTAAGGCAAATTGTTTAATGTTAAAAATTCGTCAAAGTTTGAGAAAATATTGTAGTCAAAATTTGTGTCAAAAGTTGCAAACATTACCAATTATTAAAATTTAAAATAATAAGCTACAATTTAAGGACATACAAACAATAGTGCCTGTGTAATATAATTAATATAATTACCTACAGTTAATTTAAATGTGTTGGAGAAAATTCTATTCGAAATCACAATGTTTAGATTTAATTGAAAGCGATAACTTTATTTTTAAAATAAACAGTTGACTAATTTTATCTAAATATTTAAATTTCAATTTGGATTGATTAAGCCAATTCTTACACATTTCGGGAAGTTCATGCAACTTGCCTTAAGGCTAAATGCCACTTTCAACTAGTTCAAATTTTGCGCCACATTCCTACTTTTTATCCTTTCCTATACACAAATATAAATAATCATAATAATATTAATTTTGATATTAAAAGCGTTAAATAAAGTAAATTAATTAAATTATATAAATAAATAGGTAAATATAAATCATCTGGTAGGTAATAAAAGCCGTTATTATTTGTTCATTAAATTTTTCAAACTTCGCGCCATTATCCGGCTTTCTCAATTCCTAATTTATATATATAATATAAATAATCATAATAATGTTAATTTTGAAATTAAAACCGTTAAATAAAGTAAATTAATTAAATTATATAAATAAATAGGTAAATATAAATAATCTGTTAGGTATAAAAGCCGTTATTATTTGTTCATTCAAATTTTCAAACTTCGCGCCATTATCCGGCTTTCTCAATTCCTAACCTCAAATAATTCGCACAACAGTCAAACGTCATTCGTTAACCAAAACTGACAGCTAAGCATAAATTTCTCAACAATTTAATTATTCTACCCAATAATTTAATTATTTACACACGATTTTAAATCGTGTGTGAATCAAAAACAACTTTGTAATGATTTGTGCTAATTTAATACATTTAATTATCAATACAATTGCTGTCAATAAACGATAACCTCATTATCTAAAAGAGATAATTATGCACAGAGAACAGATAGTATTAATGCAACAGTATTTAATAGACAAAAAAGTAAGTATACTGAAAAATATTGCTGTAGGTAATTCTATTACTAACTATGTTTTTATTCTAGTTATGGCTAAGTTAAATAAGTCATTTATCTGGGGCACCTTGTTTGCCTCTTTAACATGGACTGTCAGCCTCTACCTGTACTGGGGCTTAAATTCCACTGCCGAAACACAACAGTCAACTTCGATCTCTTATTCACCAGTACCTGCAAAGTTTATTGGGAAACAAAGACCGTATTCGAGTAACGATGTGTTAGCTCAAAATAAAAATGATGTATCAAGAAAAGCATTGAAATGGGAGAAGTATGCGAAGTCTAAATATATGTTGGAGGAACGTAGTATGAATAAGTATGATGTTTTGAAGAAACCCAAAATGTCGGAGGATATGGATAAGAAATTGTATAATCCGAATAAAGTTAGTGATAAATTGTTGAAGGAGTTGCAGCCGATTGTAGTTTTACCAGAATTTGGTTGGTACATGGAATATAGATACGATATGTATATATTTATTTGTGTGAAAGTTATTTTTGCGTTTAGATGAACCAGGAATGGTGCACACCATAGATGAGCAGATATTAAAAGAAGAAGGCTACAAAAATCATGCATTTAATGTTTTGGTTAGCAAGAAAATCGGCTTGGAAAGAAATGTACCTGATACCAGACATGAATTGTAAGTATTTAAATAATATATAAATATAAATTTATATTTATATTTATATTTATATTTATATTTATATTTATATTTATATTTATATTTATATTTATATTTATATTTATATTTATATTTATATTTATATTTATATTTATATTTATATTTATATTTATATTTATATTTATATTTATATTTATATTTATATTTATATTTATATTTATTAACTTCCCGTAGGGTAAGTTATAGTAATCGCAAAAAAATCGAAAATGAAAATTTTTATATATCTTTACGTTTCAGAGGTTTCTGAACATTTTGGCATACCTTAGAAAAAATGGATGTATGTGTGTGTGTGTGTGTATGTATGTATGTGTGTGTATGTATGTGCGGATACAAATTTTCGTCGACGATTTCGGGAACACGGATCAACCGATTTGAATAATTCAAAAAGCATTCGATTCGTATTGATAAGGAGACGTGCTGATTAGTTTTTGGCGAAGGCAGGTCTAGCCGTTCCGAAGATACGGGGCAAAAAGTGCCGAAAACGGTAACTCAGTTTTTAAGAGAACGGAGCGTCCGATTTTAATAATTCAAAAAACATTTTACTTATATTGACAAGGTGAAGAATTGATCAAATTTTCATGAAGGCAGGTCTAGCGGTTTCGGAGATCTAACGAAAAAAGTAAAAAAAAATGCCATTTCGCGGTCAAAAATGATCATTAGACATATGCACATCAAATTATCAGATATTTTATAGAGATTTTAACAATAAGTATGAATTTTGTTTACATTCCTATGGGTTCCGTACCAATGTTTATCCGTTAGACAGCGACGCGGCGCTTACGCGTTTTATATTTTGTTTCTATGCAGTTGCGGCAGTACGATTGCTTTGAAAAAAAGTTCAGATCTTCCAAAATATGTCAAAATTAAAAAAACATTTTTTCCAAAAAAAAAAAAAAATTAAAAAATTTTTTTTAGAATTTTTTTTTTTTAAATTTTTTTTTTCAAGAAAAAGTAATTCTTTGTCCAATTTATAGTTTCTCAAAAATCTTATTTTTGCAAAGTAAAATTTTTTCAAAAATGTTAATCGTTTTTAAAAAAATAATAATTTTTGGTACGGGAAGTTCCAGCAATTTGCCTTAAGGCACGATGCCCTAATTGCCTTAAGACAGAATTCCACTTACAGCTAGTATTTATATTTATATTTATATTTATATTTATATTTATATTTATATTTATATATTCATATTTATATTCATATTCATATTCATATTCATATTCATATTTATATTAATACAATTAATAATATATATTAATTGAAAACTATTTCAGTAAAAAAAATTATCCTTTATCTTAGTTTTATCATATGACTTTTATCACTTTTTATTTCAGGTGTGAAAAGCAAGTTTATGATTCCAATTTACCGAAAGCATCAATTGTAATTTGTTTTTACAATGAGGATTTAACGACTTTGCTAAGATCGGTTTATTCAGTTTTTCAAAAGACTCCCGAGCATCTCATTCATGAAGTGATACTTGTAGATGACTATAGCGATAGGTGTGATGAATTGGGGGAGAAGTTGGAGAGTGATTTGCGGTTTATGTTTGAAGACTCTAAAGGTAAGGGTTGTTGTTAATTCTCTGAGAGTGTTTTTGATTGTATGAGAGTGTTCTACAATGATTAATTAGCTGGGAGTTTTACTGAACATAGTCAGATAATTGTTTGTTTGATATGTGTTATTTGTTGTGATATAATTGCTTTGGTTTTTACAATATAATTGCTCAAAATCAAATTGGATCTTTGTGCCCTAACCTATTATAAAAAATCAGCTGTTTGGATTGCGATTCTTTATACGTTGGTTATAAATATTTTACATGATATAAATCTTATTAACAATTAATTAGTTTGGTTATTGTTAGTTAAAAAGCAATTGAGAAAGTTTGGAATAATTTGATTAGAAAATTTGTTATAACTCTAGTTGCAAAACAAAAATTGTTTGCTAAGAGTGTTGCAGACTGTCTGATAGTGTTGCAAAATATTTGAGAGGGTTGCAGATTGTGTGAGAGTGTTGCCGACTATCTGAGAGTGTTGCAGACCGTCGGGGAGTCTTGTAGGCTGTTTGAGAGTTTTGCAGACTGTCTGAGAGTGTTGCAGACTGTCTGAGAAAGTTGCAGACTGTCTGAGAAAGTTGCAGACTGACTAGGAGGGTTGCAGACTAGTTTGGGACGGTTGCAGACTGACTGAGACTGTCTAGGAGTATTGTAGGCTGTTTGAGAGTGTTGCAGACTGTCTTGGAGTGTTGCAGACTATCTGGGAAAGTTGCAGACTGTCCGAGAGGGTTGCAAGACTGTCCAAGAGGGTTGCAGACTGTCTCAGAATGTTGCAAATTATGTGGGAGGTTTGCAGACTATCTGAGAGTGTTGCAGGCTGTCTGAGAGTGTTGCAAACTATCTGAGAGTGTTGCAGACTGTCTGAGAGTGTTGCAACCTGTCTGAGAGTGTTGCAGACTGTTTGAAAGGGTTGCAGACTGTCTGAGAGTGTTGCAGACTGTCTTAGAGGGTTGCAAGATTGTCTGAGACGGTTGCAGACTGTCCAAGAGAGTTGTTGAATGTTTGAGAGTGTTGCAGCCTGTCTAGAAGGGTTGCAGATTGTCTGAGAGTGTTGCAAACTGTCTGAGAGTTTGCAGACTATCTGAGAGTGTTGCAGATTTTCTGAGAGGGTTGCACACTGTCCAAGAGGTTTGCAGATCATTTGGGAAAGTTGTAGACTGCTTTAAAGGGTTGCAGACCATTTTGGAGTGTTGCAGGCTATCTGGGAGGATTGCAGGCTATCTGGGAGGGTTGCAGGCTATCTGGGAAGGTTGCAGAGTGCCTAAGAGCGCTGATGACGGCCTGAGAGGGTTGCATTACCTGGAAAGGTTGCAGACTGCCTAAGAGGGTTGCAGACTATCTGAAAGATTGTAGCCTCTCTGGGTTGTTTGTAGCCTTTTTAGGAGGTTTTTAGACTCTCTGGAAGGTTGTAGACCCTTTGGTAGGGTTGCTGGCTATCCGGCAGGGTTGTAGGCTGTCTGAGAGTGTTGCAGATTGGTTGATAATGTTGTAGGCTATTTAGGAGAGTTGCAGACTCTCTGGGAGGTTTTTGGACCCTCTGGGAGGGTTCTAGACCCTCTAGAAGGGTTCTAGACTCTCTGGGAGGGTTGTAGACTCTCTGGGAGTGTTCTAGGTCCTCTCGGAGGGTTGTAGACTCTCTGGCAGGGTTTTAGACGCTCTGGGAGGGTTGCAGACTATCTGCGAGGGTTGCAGACGGTCTGAGAGTTTTGTACCTGACGTTAGTTGTCATAACCCCATTATAAATATCATAGATTTGATAAATTTTTCATTCAATAATGACATTTAAAAAATATAATAAAATGATAAAGCATAAATACAAGTACATTAAAACTATCTTTTTCCTTAGGTACTTTGAAACCCGAATGGTACAAAAAAGTACACATTTTAAGAATGCGCAATCGAGAAGGACTCATCCGTGCAAGAGTTTTAGGCGCTAGAAATGCAACGGGCGATGTAAGTCTTTCACTTTAGAATTTAAGTTTTTCTACTTATTTTTATCTCTAATACAAATATTTTTAGGTATTAGTATTCCTAGATAGCCATATCGAAGTGAACAAAGAATGGCTTCAACCTTTACTCCAACGTATTAAACAAAATGAAACCACAGTTGTGATGCCGGTTATTGATATTATTAATGCGGATACATTTAACTACACACCAAGTCCTCTTGTTCGGGGAGGTTTTAATTGGGGACTTCATTTTAAATGGGACAACTTACCTAAAGGTAAAAACAATAATTAGATGGACAACTGGATCAAGTGTTATATGTTTTATATTATTTTAGGAACGTTATCTCAAGATGTAGATTTTATTAAACCGATCCGATCTCCAACAATGGCTGGGGGATTATTTGCAATTAACAAAGACTATTTTACGCATTTAGGAGAGTATGACATGGGTATGGACATATGGGGCGGTGAAAACTTAGAAATATCTTTCAGGGTAATTAAACCTAAGTATTTACACAATAATAAATGTAATTCAAATGTAATGTTTGTGTTAGATTTGGATGTGCGGTGGCTCTTTGGAATTGATTCCTTGTTCGAGAGTTGGTCACGTGTTTAGGAAAAGGCGTCCTTATGGATCACCCGGAGGCACAGATTCTATGTTGAAGAATTCTTTGCGAGTGGCTCATGTCTGGATGGATGATTATAAGGTACAGTTTTATAGCTTATTGTTATTTTATCTACATATATATAAAAATAAGTCGGGTTTTCCTTCCTGATGATATAACTCCAGAACGCATGAACCGATTTTGACAATTTTGCATTCGTTGGAAAGGTCTCGGGCTCCGCAAGGTTTATAGCTAAGAAAATTAGTGGTGCATGGCATCGTGCCCTAATGCAAATTGCTGAAACTTCACGCACCGTAATTAAAAATTCGAGTAATGACATTAGTGAGAATTATCAGAATTATGCTTGCAATAAAGTCAACGAGCAATTCTTGCCGCAAACAATAATGATGTACGCGCACTGAATTTCACCATTCAATCAAAAATTGCTGGCGATTTGGTGACATACCAATGATTCCGACTGGTCTTCCGTTTGACTTCAAACGATTGCAATTTCCAGTTCGCCTTGCGTTTGCAATAACAAGTCGCAAGGCCAATCGCTTAGTGTTTGCGGGATAAATTTCAAATAAGAAAACCATCCGCTTTGTTTGTGTTAACGTCGGACCGAAAAACAAAAAATGTGGTTTACCAAAGAGCACTTCAATGAAACGGATAATTTGCGGATTCACTTTCATTTACTTAGAGAAGTTCAACTAAAATTGTATTTGTAATTTTTGTAATCCAAATAAATTCATTACTGTTGTGCAATAAATTCAATTTTTTCCTTTTCAAATATAAAACAAACAAAAAATTTCTTCATCTTTCTCACGAAACGATCTGGTGGCGAAACGGAGTTCGTCGGGTTTGCTAGTTATTTATATTAATGGATTATTTAATAGAGATTGGTTTATTGTGTTTTAATTTTACTATCCATGAATTACTGCTCCGAATGTCTTTTATTTACGGTTATATTTTTTTTCTTAGGATTATTTCCTGAAGCAGCACAACCAAGCTAAATATGTATCCTACGGCAATGTCCAGCCAAGAATAAAGCTACGAAAGGAATTGGGATGCAAATCATTCAAATGGTATTTAGAAAATATTTATCCAGAGCTGAATTTACCAGGAGAAAAGTCCACTGGTAAATCTGATGGAGAGATCAAATTTCAACCATGGCATTCAAGGTAGATATTAAAAATAAACATGTTCATATGACTCCTGTTAATTTATTTATTTATTAACTTCCCGTAGGGTAAGTTATTGTAATGGGCCGAAAATCGGAATTGAAATTTTTTACATTTCTCGACGTTTTGAAGGTTTCTGAACGTTTTGGCATACCTCAGAAAAAATGAATGTGTGTGCGTGTGTGTGTATGTATGTATGGATACAAATTTCCAGTCACGTTTTAGGGCGCACGGATCAACCGATTTGAATGGTTCAAAAAACATTCGATTCCTATTGATAGGGAAAAGAGCTGATTAGTTTTTGGCAAAGGCAGGTCCAGCAGTTACGGATATAAGGAGCAAAGAGTGCAGAAAATAGAAATCGAGTTTTTGAGAGAACGGAGCATCCGATTTTAATGATCTAAAAAACATTCAATTAGTAATGATTGGGAGAAGGGGTTATTAGTTTTTCGAAAAGGCAGGCCCACTCATTTTGGAGATACGGAGCTAAATGTACAAAAAATGGCAGTTTTTGAGAGAACTAAGCGTCCGATTCAATTGATTCAAAGAACTTTCTGCTTGTCTTAACAAAATAATTGATTTTGGAAAAAAAAATTTGTTCCATTTTTTTTTTTTTTTAGTTTTTTTTTTTAGTTTCTTGTATATCGAAAATATTTCAGATTTTATTTTTAATTCTGACTATAGTTCTAATATAATTTACAAATAATTTCAACTCTGCAATTCAGTTTATATAATTCTTATAAATATATTAGACAATGTTACAATATTTATAATAATCTATTTGAAAACATTCAGTATTCCTCGAACATTTCGTTACGGTACGGGAAGTTCCAGCAATTTGCCTTAAGGCACGATGCCATCCACCCCACTAGTTCATTTATTTATTCATAAGCAAGCCGTAATTAATAATAATAAATATTATTTCAGGCTCTTGTCAATGGAGCATTTTGGATCTAAATTTTTTTACTGTGCTCCGATTTGCATGAAATTTTGGAATTAGGTTCTGATTTCTTATTGTTATTTAAATGTGTCATTATAAAAATTAACTGTTATTATTCAAGGACAGTTTTAAGGGTTGAAAAAATTATAGATATGATAATTATTTTTGGGAATTTGAAATAACGTTCAAATCATTATTTTTTTCCAATTTTAGAATTTTTTTTTTTTGAACAATTGTTCATGAAGGGATAATTGATAATTAAGATTGAGGATAAAATATAAATTACCATATTCTTTTTATGTCACACCAATATATTGTGTTTTTTCAACTCAAGGGTTGTTCCCATGGGTTGTAGGTTCAAAGGATTAAAAATTATTTTATTGTAAGGTAAATGTATTAGAAAAATACTTTACAATTTAATATTTCGATATTAAACACGTTTTCAAGATTAGCCTAATACCAAAATTTCATGCAAATCGGAGCACAGTAAAAAAATTCAGACGTTCACCTTTCTTTCCTCTCCATTTACCGCACTATATATGTATACTAGCAAACCCGACGAACTCCGTTTCGCCACCAGATGGTTTCGTGAGAGAAATGAAGAAATTTTTTGTTTGTTTTATATTTGAAAAGGAAAATTTGATTTTATCATACAACAGTAATGAATTTATTTCGATTACAAAAATGAAGTGGTTTTTAGTTGAACTTCTCTAAGTAAATGAAAGTGAATCCGCAAATTATCCGTTTCATTGAAGTGCTCTTTGGTAAACCACATTTTTTGTTTTTTGGTCTGACGTTAACACAAACAAAGCGGATAGTTTTCCAACTCGTGAACAGGCGACGTATAACTGTCCATGTGAAAAACAATGATTTTCTAAATAATCTATTTGAAATTTATCCCGAAAACACTAAGCGATTGGCCTTGCGACTTGTTAATTGTCATTGCGAACGCAAGGCGTACTGGAAATTGCAATCGTTTGAAGTCAAACGGAAGACCAGTCGGAATCATTGGTATGTCACCAAATCGCCAGCAATTTTTGATTGAATGGTGAAATTCAGTGCGTGTACATCATTATACTTTGCGGCCAGAATTGTTCGTTGACTTAACTAAGCATAATTCTGATAATTCTCACTAATGTCATTACTCGAATTTTTAATTACCGTGCGTGAAGTTACAGCAATTTGCATTAAGGCACGATGCCATGCACCACTAATTTTCTTAACTATACACCTTGCGGAGCCCGAGACCTTTCCAACGAATGCAAAATTGTCGAAGTCGGTTCAGGAAGGAAAACCCGACTTATTTTTATATATATGTAGATATATATATATATTTTTTTGTAGGAAACGTGATTACGTAGGCAACTATCAAATACGTTTACAAAACACTTCGTATTGCCTACAAAGTTCTGAAAGAACAGGCGGTCAGAAGGAAATTCTAAAACGAGGCATGCACTTGACGGTCCAGCCTTGTATAAGAGTCAAACATCAGGTAAACCTAAAATATACATATTTATTATATAAAAGTAACTAATCAATTTATCTATTACTAATCTATTATCTTTTCCCCAGATGTGGTACGAGACTTCAAAGTCCGAGCTGGTCCTAGCCCAGCTGCTATGTCTCGAAGCCTCTCTCGGAAGTTCAGCATCAGGAATCGGAGCAGCCAAATCAAGGCCAATTTTGGGAAAATGCCACGAAATGGGAGGCGACCAGGAATGGAAACACAAACGTGAGAACGATACTCCAATTTATAACCTGGCTTCAGGAACGTGTCTTGGTGTTAAGAGACTGCCCACGATGGATTCTTTGGCTGGGGCTGTCGTGGAAATGGTTTTGTGTTCAGCTAGTGGCGACGAGTATAATTTGAGATGGGATTTGGTAAAGTGATAGTAAAGTAAGTGTGGTTCGAATGTAGGTTTAAAGCTTTCCCAGTAAACCACAAAACGTAATTAAAACGTTAATATAACGTAACAGATGTACATCAAACATAGCGATTACGTAACCTAGGAGGCTCAATTGAGTACATAGCATACTTGGTTTATTATTGATAGATAAATTTGTAGCATAGGGATGCCCCGTGATTTTCTATTATTGTACAAAATGTGTGCAACTATTTAAATATAGAATGAACTAATGATTTAAAAACCTTATTTGTTAGATGATTAAAAAATTATTCTATAAGTAATAAAATATGTATGTTATGTACTTGTAATTGTGGAGATAAAAAAATCAATTTTTATAATTATGTCAAGCTGGTTTTAGAATTGTAGAAAACTTCTGTAATTGTTTAAAGAATTGTAGGTGGTCTGAAAGTGTAGTAGACTGTCTGAGAGTGTTGCAGAGTTGTATTTCAAATAACGTCTGTAATTGCAATCACTCAAAAAAAATTTCATACTTTTTAAAATGCAAAATTACACAACATTAACCTTGGTTTTAATTTTTGAGTTATCTTTCCTTTGAATGAGTGTTTCTCT